AAGAACCCCTGTGAACACGGTCACAGCCTGGTAGTAATTACTTATCCTCTGAACAGAAACATGGTTCTCCAAGGAAAATCTTGGGAGAAATAAATAAATATTTCTTGGGAGAAAATAAATAAAATAATGCCTTAGATGAGTCCTGGCTGGAGGTATCCAATTGTCAGGCTTGGTTTAGGAGCTGAGGGCCTGGTGGATAGGCAAATCCCTTTTTTTCCCTTCTCAAATGATGCACAAACTCCTCCCACAGTGATCTCTGTGCCAATCCATGCTATAAATCACTGTGGTTTAAAGCTATTTACTGGAGTTGATGTGACTTGTGTGCTCCGGACTTCCTCCCAGGATTGGGAAACACTCAAATTTCCCAGCTTTTAGCCAGGAAAGGATCCATTCTCACTCAAGTGCCTCTGACAGGCTGACAAGTGCTCAGTGCTTTTATATCAGCTTATGGACAACATTCTGTGCAACTCAGCTGCTGGAAGGGCTCAGAGCTCTCCAGAACTGCTTTGATGATATTGAAGGGTTTGAGCCTTGCCTTAGTTTGGTGATACAGAATTTGGTGTCTCCACAGGCTTTGATAATTTGCAGGGCTTTTGATTGAGGTGCCTCAACTGTGTCAGGTGGTTTGTGGCAGATGGGAGGAATATAACTCACAGAAATTCAGTGTTTGACAGAAAATACAGCAGAAAATACTGCATTTTTCTCAAGCTGATACAACAATAACATCTTTAAATGGAATAGCTGCCCAGAAACAAGCAGAGAACTGTGGTATTCCCATTCTCTGGAAAAATCCCTTCGTCCAGGATTCTTCTCCTGGGAAGCTGAGAAACCTCAGAGAAAAAGGAAAACAATAATGATCTGATTTGCTTCTCCTGTGTTTTGCTTATGTGGAAGGTGTTTGGAGATGGTTTACTCACATGTGATTGTTTCATTGAGTTGTTTTGACTCATTGGCCAATTATGGCCAAGCTTTGTCAGAACTCTGGAAAGAGTCACGATTTTTCATTATCATTTTTTAGCATTCTCTCTGTATCCTTTCTGTATTCTTTAGTATAGTTTATTATAGTATTCTTCAATATAATATTGTATCATAAAATAATAAATTAACGTTCTGAGAAGATGGAGTCAGATTCATCATTCCTTCCTTTGTCTGGGGTCAATACAAACCCAATAAGAACCAGGCTGTTGTAGGAGCAGAGCTCTGCTGCTTTCCCCCAGGATGAACCGCTGGCAGTGTGAAAATGCTTTATTTTTCCTCGCTGTCCAGCTGCTGCACTTGAGAAAGGAGAAAAACCACAGCTGGTTTTCTTTTAGTGCTCCCTGGGATGTGAAACAGCTGGGAGGGAGCTCCCCCTGAGCTGTTCCACACGTTCCCATGGAAACCCCCGGCTCCAGCAGCTCCTCCAAAGGGCACAAGCTGTGGGAGCCAGTGAGTGATGATGCTCACACGTTGCTGAGCCTCATCCCCGGGCACCAGCACATCCCTGCTGGCAGTGGTTGCCGTGGTGATGGCGTTTGGGCAGGTTTGCAGTGCAAGGCAGATGTCTCTGCACCTCTTGGGGCTCAAATCTTGGGGCCACAGGTTCCTCTCTGAGCTGTTTCCTGCCCAGTGGAAGTGCTCAGTGCCTGCAGAACTCCTGGGTGTGTTGAAAAATTCTCTTTCTGGATGATGGCTCCATTTAAGGAGTGCTGAGAAATGAGGCACTCGATGGGAAATTTGGGGTGGGTTGATGGAACAGTTCCTCTGCTGTCTTAAAAAGGGTTAAGCCTTTGTTTGAGTACCTGAAACCTTATTTTGTCATTCCATGTCAAAAGTGTTGACAGAGAGCTGACTTCCCTTGATATTCAACAAATCTCTTCTCTTTTGATTCCATAAACTGCTTTTAATCTGTTGGTTTTCCTCTGTTCGGAGTTGTGTGGCTTTATGGGGCACCATAACAACAAAAAAAGCACCAGCAAAGACTTTTGCAGTTCACAGGAAATCTGATATAAACTCTGCTGTATTTGTAGGCTTTCTATATAAAGTGCAGCATCCAGTAAAATAAAAATAAATGGATGCTTGCAATGAGTGCACTGAAGTGGAGGGGAAGAAGGGAAAAGGACATTTCTTTCCAAGGAAACTGCAGCAATAATTTAGGGAGGCACTGAGCATTGCTCAAGGTTTCTTTGAGCTGGCATCTTCATTTTAATGGCTAAGGGCAGCCTGGTGTTTCTTATTCCATTTTTTTCAGCGTGTTTGAGGGTGATTCCACTTCTTCACTGGAACATCCTCCTGTTTCATGCTGAGTTCTCTGGGGAAGGGAAAGTGGGAGAGAGGGAGGGTGAAAAATCCTAAATCCCAGATGTTTTCAGAGCTTTTGGGCTGTTTTATTTGTAGGCATCCCCAGAGCTCCCAACAAGGCCTGTGTTAATCCAGTGCTTGAATTCCTTGTGCAGCAGATATTCCTCCTTTTCATGGATAAATAACCATGGGAGGAGGTGCAAAATCCAGGCCAGGGAAGGGCAGATTTGTTGTTTTTTTACAGGACCCTCACACGGAGGGAGGACTTTCTCCTTCTGCCTTTTCCTGGCTCTGAGAAAGCTCAGCTCTGGCAGGGCCCATTAATTTTTAATTTAGTCCTCTCTCTGCTGCACTGCTATTGTGGTTTATGAGGATATTATGCTGGAACAGAGGCCTGTAAAACAGGATTTTAAAGTTTGGAAAAGCCACGGTTGTCATACATAATATGCACGCTGTAGTAGAAATGAGTGGGTATTTATAGCACAGCTAATATTAATTATTTTTATTGTGATGTCAGCCCTGCAGGTCAACTGAAGAGTAAGTTGCTGTGGAAGCCAGAAATCTCCAGGCATTAAATTATATTAATATGAAATGTTGAAAAGTGGTTAATTTGTGCTGCTGGTTTTGTTTAAAATGTTTTCCTGTGTAAAGCCGTATCTCCAGTGTGATACATTATTGTTAGGAGGGATATAATTCAGTCCCATTACAGGGGAAGCCCATGTGCTTTATGAAAGGGAGTCCAGCTCTGCTAAAATAAAGAACTACAGCAAAATAACACTTTTTGAATGGCAAATTGCTGTTTTTAACGGCTAACCACATCTCTCTGTTGCTTGTGCTTTGTCAAGGTTATTGGCAGCATGAAAATCTTCCTGTTGCCTCCAAACTTCCACAAATTCCTCCAAGGGATGTTTATTCACCTTGCATCATGAAAAAAAACCCTGTGAGGGGCAGCTGACAGCAAAACTCTGGCTGTGATTGTGTGAAGCTTTGGGAGGAAAGCTTGGGAGGATCAGGGAAAGCCCTGCAGTGTTTGAGGAGCTGTTTTGTACCTTCATGTGCTGCATCCCTGCAGGGCGTGTGAGATGGGGGCTTTTGAAAG